TTACTGGTGTCATTTTTATAGATCCTCCATAGCAAGTAGCTAATCATGAGAATATTTTAATTCCTGTAGGTACAGCAATAATTAATGTAGCAGCTGTGAAATAAGCTCTTGTATCTACATCTAATCCTACTGTGTACATATGATGACTTCACACTATAAATCCTAATATTCCAATAGACATCATAGCGTAAACCATTCCGATGTAACCGAATATAGGTTTATTTGCACTAGATGATATTGTTGTACTAATTATACCGAAACCAGGTATAATTAAAATGTAAACTTCAGGATGACCGAAGAATCAGAATAAGTGTTGGAATAATATAGGGTCACCTCCACCAGCTACTTCAAAGAATGAAGTGTTAAAGTTTCTATCTGTTAAAACCATAGTTATACCACCAGCTAAAACAGGTAATGATAATAATAATAACACTGCTGTTATTACTACGGCTCATCCGAATAAAGCTAGTTTATGTAATTTTATTCCAGGTGTTCTCATATTAGCTACAGTAGTTATAAAGTTTATTGATCCTAATAAACTACTTACCCCTGATAGATGTAAAGCAAAAATTGCAAGATCTACACTAGGTCCACTGTGACTTTGTAATCCGGCTAAAGGAGGGTAAAGTGTTCATCCTGTACCAACTCCACCTTCTATAACTGCAGAGAATACTAATAATAATAAACTAGGTGGTAATAATCAGAAACTAATATTATTTAATCTAGGGAATGCCATATCAGGTCCTCCTATCATTAAAGGCATTAAGAAATTTCCAAATCCTCCGATTAATGCTGGCATAACCATGAAGAATATCATTAATATAGCGTGAGCTGTTATGATACTGTTATATAATTGGTTATTTGCAATAAATTGAACACCAGGTCCACTAAGTTCTAATCTTATTAATACTGAAAAGGCTGTTCCTAATAATCCTGAAAATAGGGCAAATATTAAGTAAAGAGTTCCTATATCTTTAGCATTAGTAGAATTAAATCATCTTTCAATGTTCATA